ATAATAACGGCGCCAGAATGGCTAAAGGTACGAAATAGTTTTTATGGAAGCAAAATTATCAAAAGTTTTAGTCAAGTCATAATTTGTTTTAGAAGATGCTGCCTGTTTAAGCAAATCAGTTTCGCCGTGTAATTGCTTTTGAGCATAGCCAATGTTATTACATTCTGGCACTCTTCATATATGTCTTTTTGATTCGTGTAGATAACCAAAATGAATGTGACACGTTTGTTCTTACTTACCTTCTTGTAATTGTGGGTCATTTATTCCACATAATTGGTAAGGTTATGACTTTCGTATTCTGTCTCAGTAAAAGTACTGTACTAAACTGAACTAAAAATAGCTTTACAGCAAAACAAAGCCTTGTATCATTTTTCTAGGTAGAACTGATGCAATGGATACTTATGGCTCTGTTACTAACAAATTGAACCGATTTGACGTCATCGATGTTTTCTAGGATCAATTTTCAGGACAAATTCTGTTTTGGGCACGGAAATTGGCGTTTTGGGCACGGTTTGTCAATTTCCATGCCCAAAAAAATTTTTCGGCTTATTTGGGCACGGTTTTCCTTTCTGACGCTCTGAAACGCTTGTAAGCTGTGTATCTCCACAACATCACACCAGAAACTGTATTACTAATTTCTCTTGAATTTATTCAAAAAGAAGACAACAATCAGCTAAACGCAGTTGTCTAACCTTTCCCACTGTCAGCGCTTCACACGGGAAAGATACTCATAAATGGATCCAAAATTAGGACAAAAATCGATTGCTGTACTGGTATGGCCATACACATGTGGTTCCCTCCTCATCTCTGGCTAAAACAACTGGAAACTGTCGTGGCAAAGTTTTGATGCCTTTTCCACTTGGTACGCTGGCAGGCTTGTCTCGATGCCTATGATGTGTTCATGCAACAAACGTTGAAACAGTACGTCTGCAAACATGCATTGGGACTCATGATGCATTTTGGCCATTATACAGTGTCAGATCCCTCACGATCACAAGATTTAGGCAAACGACAAAGAAGACGCCCAGAGAAAGGAAAAAAAGCGCTGGCTCACTAAATATTGTCTTTTTTTTGAATAAATTCAAAAGGAATTAGTAATACAGTTTCTGGTGTGATGTTTTGGAGACACAGCTTACAAGCATTTCAGAGCTTCAGAAAGAAAAACCATGCCCAAAACTGCTAATATTCGTACCCAGAAAAATCTTCGTCCCAACTTTCATATCCCTAAACAGCGCAACCCTACGAAAGATTCGACACTGAATTTCAGAATTATCAACTGTAGTATGCTGTTGTATATCTACATCGTGACCGAAAATTAGCAAGAACAAATAATTTTCATCTGAAATCAAGGGACTGTCACAGGTGAAACCTTTTTACATTTCTAAAATCTGAGCACACAGAATTTGTAACTAAGGATTAGATGCTCTATTCTGAAAAAGCTATGCAAACATAAAACACCGGTTTTGTTTTTTGTATATATATTTCAAGGAGAAGAAAATCGATAAAGAATGAAAATAGTCACTAACTATACGTTGTATATCATACATTTAAAATACAATAAAGAACAAAAACAAATATTTTTTTGCATAGTCTCTTTTTACTCTAGTTCTTTTTCTTTTTCTTTTATTGTTGTAATTGTTGCGTCACATGCTGACTCACACATATGTACAGGTATGTGCATACATAGACACATCGGGAAAAAAGTCTATTCACTAAACATCTGCTTCTACAAGAATAACTTAGAAGCGAATGAGGTTAGGTGAGCTTTCATGTAGTTACTTAAACCAGTTCGATAACTTACTTCTGAAAAATAATTTATTGGGTATGAATTTTCATTGTAGTTCTGGTGAGCTTTTGTATCTCAAAAATCAAATAAGAAAATTGCTCAATTTTTCTTGAAATTATCTGTTTATTCCACACCACATCACTCGGATGGTCTTTTTCGGGTGATGGGAATTTCAGTTGGAAAATAAGAAAATATTATCACGTCGAAAAATCCTATTTGAACCCACAAAAAGATCTTTTGATTCATAAGATATCTACGTAGTATCCTGCCGGATCATATAAAGCTCTATCATAAGACTGCACTAGTTCCTGCCTGATACTATCACAAGAACCCTATTTCATCCTATAGTAGGAATTCTATGGTTTTGTGTGAGATCTGAAACAGGATTTGGTAGAATTCTAACGTGAAAAGATCGCACTTCGCCCATTTCGAAGTTATTCACAACTTTATTTGAAAACGATAATTAGCCATAGAAAACCTACCATCATAGGTAACTTGATAAGCGCTACATACTACCAAGGTTAAAATTTGATTTCCAGCGGAAATCTTTGGATTTGAAAGAGCTGCTTCTTCAAAAGTCGTTCATCAAAGTCCTAACGCGGCAATTCCGACTTTCATGTTCTCACATGAAACCAAAAGTTAAAGCAAAATTATCAAAAGTTTTAGTCAAGTCATAATTTGTTTTAGAAGATGCTGCCTGTTTAAGCAAATCAGTTTCGCCGTGTAATTGCTTTTGAGCATAGCCAATGTTATTACATTCTGGCACTCTTCATATATGTCTTTTTGATTCGTGTAGATAACCAAAATGAATGTGACACGCTTGTTCTTACTTACCTTCTTGTAATTGTGGGTCATTTATTCCACATAATTGGTAAGGTTATGACTTTCGTATTCTGTCTCAGTAAAAGTGCCGTACTTTTACTCTATTAGATCAATACATTGAAAGATTTGGTTCTTCAGTTACAATTGAAGCCCCAACAAAGCGTACACATGCTGCAGTAGTTCTACGATATAAGAGTCTACTCAAAGAGAGAAGTGGATCAGTTCGCTTAGATATCAAATTTATCGTGAATCTATGCTATACGATTTGGGGGCATAGACGGTTTTCTGAGCGTCCGTTTCTATCCAGGCAATGAGTTTTCAATTTTTTCTGCCTCGACCATGATCAGCATACTATTTTACCGACCGCAAGCTCGTCATCTGTGTGTTACAGAAATCTTTCTATTTCTTATATTTTTGTTTATTATAGAATCTAGACAAAGAGTGACGAATCCAAAAGCATGAGGATCCGATTACTTTTGCATCTAACTAGCATTATTCATTAATTAATGTTTTGTGGATACAAGGCATAATCCTTTAGTCCTTTGACAAATAATAATAATAAATTATAAAAAGGTTGACTTGAAAGAATGATTGGGTAGTTTTTGTTATTGCTTTTTTGTTCAGATATTACTTTATTAGGATAAGGAGAACCTTTTTCGTTGATAATCGAAGTTTTAATCGTTAAACCACTATGTTTCTTAACTTTCATAGTAGTAAGTTCTTGTAATAAGTCGAGTAATAAATTCTACTCTCAAATTTGAGGAGAATAACAATTTTTGATTACTTTAGATTTTGATAATCTAGATCTGATGGTATTTAAATGTCCTTACTATGCTGCCATATAGTTCTGCATATAGTCGACAAATTCAAGATGTAATCTATAACCAATGTCTTACAAAATTTATTTAATTAGTTTATTCAACAGATTAAACAATTGGAAAAGCTCTATATCGCTTAAACCTCGTACGTGCTGAGTGTCTCATTTATGCTGTTAAATGTTCGATTTCAGGTGATGTCTATGCGCAGGAAACTGGCTGATATTTGAAAACTCAAAGAAAGATTCAAAATATTGAAAGATCAAATTAAATCAATACTGAAACAAGTGAAACAAAAATCAACTAAAATAATTAAACAAACAAAATTAAAACAAAGTGGAGTATTTCCATGGGCGGTACACCATCATTACACGAAGGTGTGCCGCAAACGTGGAAACATACCTCATTCGATAGAGAATTCAATTCTGAACAAGAATATCATATTTAAAAATGTTTTAAACGTTGACGCGGGGTTTAAAAATCGGTCGAGAGATAGCGTTTTTATGTATTTCATCGTGTTTTTGAAAGCAGAGTTTTTCAAAAAGTATTAAAGCCGAAGAGACGAAACTTTCAGGGTATAACCTAGAGGCTACGAGAAACAAAAGATTCTCTTGGACTAAAATTCCAGAGTGCTTAGGTATTGTACCACGCTCATCGTAAAATTGTATAAAAATGCAAAACAAGGTCATTTTGAAATGAAGTTTTCTCCATGAAGATAAAGCCAAAACTCAAAACAAATTAGTGAAGACACAAAATTTCTTCTTATATCGAATGAGAAGGGACATAACAAGATATAAAAAGCGTTTAAATGCTGATGAATGAAGTAGCATATTGCTGTCACTGTTAATATTAAGTCAAACATTGTATATATTCCTAGTCTAAGTAAGAGTGATACTCTTGTATACTATCACTAGTAACAGTAATACTGAACAATATTTCTGTTACTAATAATAGAAATATGCAATAAACTACTATTACTTTTTCTATAATATATATATGAAAAAATTTTGGAGGTTTGCGGATTTGTACTTTTCGAGGAAAAAGTTTTAAGTTTTTTTTGGCTTTCATTGTCGATTTTTTAAAGTATGAATAAAATTTTTACTTTTCAGTTTGAAACCTCGGTTTTGTAACGAATCGATAGAGCACCTCAAGATGTGTATATGAAAAAACTGTCGTTGTTCTCCGACAAGGTTTCAGATTTGATCTTCAGAGCGCTTTATTAGAGCCAAACGTGCCCTTTTTCGACATCTTGCCTGTAGTTTCTCTGCGGGGAAGCATTTCGGAGGGACAATGGGAGTGTGAAAGTTGTTCACTTCGAAGAAGAGAAATTTTTGGGAAAAGGAAGTATCTGGTAGGCGTAAGAGAATTATCCGAGGACGATGTACTTCAGTGAATCACCTTGAAATGAACACCATGTTTTCATTTTCACATCAACGTTTTCTGCGAAGAATAAAATTTCGCTCTTTAATCTCCTTGAAATTAATTTTCTTTTCGTTTCTCTACTTCGCAAACGAAGTGCTATAAAATCGTTCTTCTTTCCATTTATTATTCTCTCTTGGAGTGAAACAACCTAAAAAATGGCTCACTCTCTTGGTCTTCTAACCGTTGTTATTCTGCTTTTTACCGTTTACATGCACTCAACTTCAGCAGATGAAATAGTTTGTCAACCATTCAAATCAATTCCATTTTTTTCCACTCCTTGTACTAAACCAAAATGGGCTCAGCAAGGTATCACAGTTGCTGGTACAACGGGAAAGCAAGGATCATCTAACATTCAGCTCATCGGTCCTTCTGGCATTTTCATCGACCCTTATGACAACCTATTCATAGCTGATGAGGGTAACGATAGAATTCAAAAGTTCTCTCCAGGATCAAAGGGTGTTGGTCTGACAATTGCTGGAGGGAATGGTGGAGGATCTGCTTTGAACCAATTGAAAGAGCCAAGAGCTGTCTATGTTGATTCTGCAGGAACTCTGTTTATCACTGATCGGGGTAATCTTCGAGTGCAGAAATGGTTCACGGGTAGTGCACAAGGAATAACAATTGCCTCTGGAAGAGGCTATACAGCTCATTGGTTTCAAGGACTTTCTGGTAATAGAAAACAAATAAATGAAATTTATTCATCGGAATCAATCATGGGACGTGGCAGAATTATGAAGTATCCTCTTGGTGGTGATGATTCGCCTTCGTATGCAACACTTCTCGGTTCTGTCACTAGAAATCCTGGAGGTATTGTTGTGGATGAGTGTAATAGTGTCTATGTAGCAGATCCATTTGGTGGAAATATTTTAAAATTTAGCAGCGGTAATTCAACAGGTGAACAGATTGCATCAGGTTTGATCACTCCTAACGATGTTGCACTTGATACGTACGGAAATCTCTATATCGTTGAAAGAGATACAAATCGTGTTCAACGCTTGAATGTTCATGATGGTACAAGGGAAGTCATTGTTGGAAATAAAGAAGGCGCCGAAGGAAGTGACAGTGAGCATTTGAATAAGCCGTGGAGCATTGCATTCGATTCAGAAAACAATTTGTATGTATCTGATAAAGAGAATCACCGTGTTCAGAAATTTAGCTTTCACGAAGGAGATCTTTTGTGTTGAAAGCCTCTTTTCTGTTAAATGTGAAGGTGGGGAATGGTTAATGCTGTATGAAAAGGTGGTTTTTCTTAAAATAAAGTTGGAAAGCTACAGGCAAAAGAAAGTACGATAAATTTCAGAAGACTGTCTCAGAATGAAAAAGGATCAAGTGAGAGAGGTGCGGAATCCGAAAACAGATACCTTTGACCGTACAGATACCTTTGAACGTACAGTTCAACTTAGAAGCGAGGTTATTTTTTCGGACTTCAAGGTTTATTTGGTCGATAATAGAGGATTATTTATAGAGATTTCTCCTAGAGGAGCTCTGAGAGGAAGAAAGAAACAGAATAAAAACTCTTTGCCGAGGTGCGGTGTGGATGTGGGTATGGATGTAAGAGTAATGCAAAGACAAGACCAACATCCACACACACACGCCTTAACACTTGCCAACAAAATAAAGAATTATGTTGAGTGCACAACCGAAAATGGAAAATAAACTGCGTTTAGCTTATTTTCTATATTTTATAGCTTTTAGAAAGTGAAAACTTTCTTCTTTATGAAGCCATTATATGAAACATTGACTTTTATCTAATTTCGACTGAGAAGAAGTATGGTAATGATCTCACAAGTTGATTTATTTTCTAAGATGAAGAAAAAGATGGGTCACCGCAGATCCGGTGAACGGACGTGTTTTCTCCTATTGACTATATACTGCTCCAGTTTTTTCCTAACGGCGAAATATTATTCGCTCGACCGACTTCTCAATAATAATCATGACACCCTCATATCATTTGTTTATCATAAATCGGCCGCTCAACCATCAGTCTTATCCTTTTTATGGGATCATCCGCGACATGTTTTTCGAAATGTCATTCAGAGTGCTCTTATGAGAGCGGTTCGGTATTCATCGACATTTGAAGCATTTAATATTGAACGACGTCTCATTCGTTAGAAATTACTATACAATGAGTAAGTCTCTTGTTGACTGAAAATATAACACCAATGATTATTCATTGATGTAGCTGTCCATCGACCTATATTAATGCCCAATCTCTGCAATTCTTTACTGAATATATGTCCTCATCCTAATCACTCTTACCAATGATTCAGGATGAAAAGTAATTCTTTGTACTACGTGGAAATTTACTCACACAACCGTCCGTGAAATAAACACTAATGGCCAAAAGTGCTGCGACAATCAATGTGATCCCTCGTGATCCTGGTGTGCAAGATATGGGTCAGATAAATACGAGAACGATGCAGACGACAGTGAAAAGAAACAATAACAATAAATTTAAACATACTCTTTATTCATTGTAAACGTGAAGCACGACTTATATGAAATTCATGATAGCTTGTACAAGGATACACCGAACGATGATATCAGGTTGATTGTTGATCATCAAAATAATCCAAATATGGAGTTTGAACTTTTACGGCAACGTCCACGATCGTCATTACTGAAGAATCTACCAAAGCAGAGTAAAAATTATATTCACCTTTATCCAATGTTGTAATATTTTTTCTTTAGAACGAAAACCCAGTCAATCTCCTTCGACAGCATAATCATCTATCGAACATTATCCATATACTACCACAATACATTCGTTATTTAGAAAAAGACGACTACTTATCCCGGTTTAATCTATTTACTACATATATACTAATCCACTTTCTTTTTGTCTTGTTTACTCTCATTTAATCTATGTATTCATTTATATCTTAATCAGGTCTATTTTTCTTTTAAATTTCAGATCCTATAAAGCATTTCTATCGATCATGAATATGAACCAAGGTCAACGTACACGAAAAGTACATCATTTCAAAAAGAAATATCGTAAGTCGTGTACACATACGAAAACAATATCAAACCCAGTGGATATTCAATTTAAACAGTCAGATATGATATAATCTCCAGAAGATAACAGATTGTCCATATCTCAACAATCTTCAATAAAGAAGTGTTAACCTTTACATAACGAATAAAATATAGATCCAACTCTATTTTTATCCGACTATTCGATCATGTCCAATCACGGCTTTAAGAAAATGTTATTAACAATAACAGCAACAGAAACTGACAGAACTTCTTTGGTTGAGTTAAACCCCCCCCCAGAATAGAAGGGCATGGCTTTCTCTTGTGTCCCGTCGGATCAAACTTTTTAGGGTGGCCTTCTATTAAGAGTGGCCTTCTAAACCGACCTCCTAGATAGAATTTTCTAAAAGT